TTTCCCTCGTAAGAAAATAATTTTCCCTCGTAAGAAAATAATTTTCCTTCGTAGGAAACTATTTTCCCCACATAGGAAAATAATTTCCCCTCGTAGGAAAATAATTTTCCCTCGTAAGAAAAATCTTACAGTTTTCCAAACAAATCTTAGTTTATTTATATCTGTATCAATAAGATCTTGCATCTTTTTTCTTTCTTTTATTTTTGTTAAACTTTTAAAAAGAATCATCCGTGTCTTTCTCGTAGTGCCAAAGTACAAGTTGGAAGATTACCTGAACCAGACGATATTGAATAATAAAATTCTTTTTATCTAAAGTGTATTTGCAATTTGTTGTGTAGTCGTAGTTATTCTTTTTTGAATAAACATCGTCTTTAACGAGGATGACTCGTTTTTTCATTGAATTCTATAGTGGGGGAAATTTTTCATAAAAAATTTGTCGTTTGGGGAAATTTTTTATTTTAGCGGCAGATTCTGCACCTCTGCTTGTAGCATCCCCTATGATGCTACAGGCATCCCATACGATGCTACAGGCATCATCTAGGATGCTACAAGTATTAACTAGGATACCACAGGTTTTGGTTGAGATGCTACAAGAAGTATGTGAGAAGCTGGAGCTACTGTGCAGCAATGAGTAGGAATAATGGTGTACACAGAGATGTGCATGAATCGCGGCTCTTCGGAGACGCTTTGCTCCATCGCACCACGACGCTGAAATAAAAGGTATGTTAGGTAGAGAAACGCGCTGCCCCACTGAATATCCGCAGAATACTTAAGAAGTTAAAATTTGAATAGTGGAATACCTGAATAGTTGAATACTTGAATAGTTGAATACCTGAATACCTGAATACTTGAATAGTTGAATACTTGAATAGTTGAATACTTGAATAGTTGAATACTTGAATAGTTGAGTACTTGAATACATGAATAATTCAATACTTGAATTTAAGTTCCAAGTATTACATATGTGCATTTTTTTAGGGATTTTTTGAGCCATTAAACTTGTCATCCCTTTTCCTCGCTTAAAAAGTAAGAATTTTAAAAAAGGTCACGAGAAGAGCTAGCCATAGACACAAGTTTTCAAATAAAAAAAAAAAATTTAAATGTATAAAATGACGGCCTACAGAGAAATCTTGGAGACACGATAAAGCTATTTTTGACTCTTGTTGGGTGAATATCTCTGTCAAACATTATGATATTGGGCTGCAAATTTTACCATAGTCATTGCTCACCAGCCCCAACATATTCTGAAAGTTTCATGAAATTTGGATGTTCCTAGGCTGAGATTGATTTTTGAAGGGGAGCCTTAATGGTTCTAGATTTTTTTGGAACCGCCAAACTCTAGCCTACACTCTTTTACCTCTTCGTTGTGTTCCTGATCATATATTGTTTTTCTATCATAAAAACATTTTTTCTGATTTGTTAAACATTGAACATTTCGATAAATTTAATGTTTCTCGTATGAAATTTATCTCTTTGTTTTAATTCACTACTTTGTACATAAATTTGTCATTATATTATCTTCAAGAAAATAAATTAAGTATATAACTAAAACTAAAACGTTTTATGAAGTCTTACTTGTATCTAAACGAATGATATTTTCAAATTAAATTAATGATCTATCTATATTTTAGGATCTTGTTAAAATGCATTTGCTATCAGCTGTTCGTGATGAAGTAACTGAATTACGACAACAAATTCGAATACTTAATGAAAGAATAAATAATGCTGAACATGAAAATACATTTCTTCGTCAACATGTACCCAGTGAAATATATGCTCAGTATGTTCCGACATTTATCGGTTTATCTTCTTCAAATGAACCCAGCAATTCATCAACAATTAATACTACTAGTGCATCTTCAATTCCTCTACAATTATCTAGTCAACCGGTATTAATGAATTCTTTATCATCTAATCCATTGTCATCATTTCAACAACCAACTTCTTTGCCTACGAATCTACAGCAACCTCTTTCAACTACGAACGTTCCGTCAACGTGATGTCTTGTTATAGAAAAATTCCTTTTTTTTTCGTGTTTTATTCTGTTTTTTTTTGTTCCCCTCTTTTTATTGATTAAGTATACGTTATTCCTCTTGTTATGTGTATGTCATTTGTTAGTATGTTATATGAACGTAGGCTTTTTCATTAATGGTTAATTTTCGGAAGTAGAAAAATCTCTTATATATGGTAAAAGATGATCTGATATGGAATAGATTCGTGACATTTTTGTGCAGTTAAATTTAATTTAATTATACACTTCATCATGATAATCGAATTGAATATCGTTCATTCACATCTTTAATACAGAGTTGGACAATTCTACTTAAATTTCTATTGATTTGGCTATTTCAAATCAAAAAAAATAAAATTGAAGAAGCAAATAACTGAAGTTGCTTACATCTATTGAAGACAAATGGTTCGAGTTTTTATTTTTCTGGTACATTAAGTCGAGCAAATAATACTTACATGGAACCAATAGATGAAGCATCCGAAATCTGAATTTATTAAACTAAATAAATCGGTAAGAGTATGTCTTTAATACGATTGATATTAGGTGTGCTCAGAACAACGCTTTGAATTGGATAGAACAATCCCGTTCGGTGGAGCAAATTTCTTTTTTGAAATACTTCATGTACTGAGATGAGGTTTCTTTCTTTTCGTTTTTTGTCATGAAAAAAAAATGTAGATTCGGTTGAATGAAACATACACTAAACAATAATACGTTATAGATACAATCATGGACAATTGCCACACCTAAAAATATCATTAGTGGCATGTACACGAATCAAAACATATTTTTCTTCTATAATAATAAGATATTACAATCTATTGTTACGCCTAGTATAATTTATTGCCACGCCTCAATATAATACGATGGCTCATCTGTGGATACTGTGAGTAATACAACTAGTCATACTTTCATAGTTGACATGATTCATCCATAGAAATAGTTTCGTTTCTTTTGTTGTATTTTGTACATATAATTTTCTATATTTTAATTTAACAAAAAATAAAATATAAACGTACAATTTAATAGATTCGATTGAATCTTAGCAATTATTGGATTCGCCAGAATTTTCAAAGATCTGAAAAATGCACCGAAATATCAAAAGAATCTTCAGTGACCTTGAGCAATTCGGTACACTAACGAGGAAACCTCTCCAGATACTCTCTTCCGGTTTCAATGATTTTTTTTTTGTCTATAGATATTGTATCGTGTTTTAATAAAAACTAAAAAGAAAAGATTTCAGTTCTTATAGACATGTGACTAAGCTACCAAATAGTTTTCTAAAGATTCTATGTTTTAGAAAAATTCATTATTATTAAATTTGATCTGCAATGTTGTGCATATAGAGAACTCAACTAGACTAGTTTTCATACATGCAGAAGTTTTAAATAAAGTCTCTTCGAGATATAAGACTTTCAAGATATAGACCCCGCTTCATGAATAGTGTATACAACATGTATTTTTTTACAAGCTTCATTTTTCGAAGAGACTTTGTTCAGAACTTGTAAATTTTTTCAAGGGAGCCAGTCTAGTTGAGTTTTCTATATGCACAAAGTTTCCGATCAAAATTCGAAAATATAAGTTTTCTGAAAACTTGAGATCTCTAGAGAAAAGATAATAGCTTGGTTAAAATCTCAATAGTAACTCATATCATTTTATGGTTTTTATTAGAGCACTATGCAATATTTATAGGCAAAAAAAAACAATTGAAATCTTCTAAGAAAAATAGCAAAGTTCAGTAAATTCAATTCGATAAATATTCAATAATCTTTTCGATTTCATTGAATATTGGAACAATAAGAGATAATACTATCATTGTTGGTCGTACCGATTCACATGCTGAAAAAATATACTTATAAACTTATTCGTAGTTTAGATAATCTTTGTAAAATGTAAAATATTTCCATTAAGACAAAGTAATGATTAGAAAAATTTCAAATATATCAACTATGGTGAAATTAGTCAAATGATTCTTATTACTTATTCAATTATAAAACTATATTAATAAAAAGCAAATATTAGTTGTATTTTAGGCTATTCTTCAATGAATGGATGCTTGTAAAGTCATAATATAATTTCTATTTCCTATTATTGCTTATTATAAGATATTCAAATAGTTTTAGTCATGATTTTAATAAATAATAAAAATATAATTGTATTTCTAACTTAATATTATAATGTAGTATTGTTTGTGTTATTTATCTTACATGCATCATCAAAGATCAATATTAATCTTAGCTGCAAAAAAAAATATTTATTTCTATTTAAAGACTTTCTTAAATGCTTAAAGCTAAAATTAAATCCTTTTTGAAATTGAACTAGAGTTTTTTCCCTCATACATCGATATTTTCACTAATTAGAATTATATATCCAATAAAAAATAAAAGTTATAATTATCAATCATTCGTAAAATTACTTGACTAGATTATCAATTTTATTAAAACGAAGATTATGACTTACGCAAACGAAAAAAACGCTTATCAAATCGTTTTTTGTCTCTTAGCAAGTAATTGTTATGAAGCAATTCAAGTTAAATATAAAAAAGCCTATATGTTTAGATTACATTACATGATTTTCTTTTTTTTAAAAACGTATATTATTTTATTCTTTCGTCTTTTGAGTTGATATTTACCAGAATACCATAAGTATGCTGTTTGCTTAATTATTACATACACAATATGTCATTTTTTTTGTATATACCGATCGAGCACATAAGTGTAATTACGCCATTGTACTTTTTTTTTCTTTTCATTTAATTGTGGGCGTAATAGCATATTCGAGAAAAAACATGAATAGGCGTTGGTAGGTACCATACATTTCTTAAGGTCACAGCTGCGACTAATTCGAACTTTTTTCTTTTGTTTTTTTTATTTGCACTCAAAAAATGAAAAATTTTATTTGCTACAAAATAAAAGCAAAACAGATTTAAATAAATCTTTTTTTTTTTTTCTTAATATTCAAAAAAATATAATCAATGGCTCTGTAATCTAGAATATTTGTCAATAAAATATGTAATATCAGTCTCAAGTGGTTCACATGATATGTAAAAACAAAAATAAATTAAAAAACATTCTTTTTTTCAGAAATAATAAGTAACGCATTTAAATGTGACAAATTAATAAATAAAATGTAACGCAAATGTTGATAAGCAATAGTGCAAGGTTTTTTTCTCATATGTTTTGGTTGTTTCTGAGTGAGTCACGAGTTGTCATCGTAATACGTCATTATTGCTTCTCAACTCAAACACTAAAAGAAATATCCATGGGAATTTTTTGATGACTCAAAAAACATTCTCTCTTTTTTTTCTTCCTTCTATATTTCTCTCTTCCCTGACAAACGATAATCTAGAATTCGTCATTAAAATCATGAATTGATTATGACGTAGTTTATTATATTGACTGTTTTGTTCTTCTTTTCCTCCCAAAACAAACATCTAAACGGATGACGTTTTTTTCGCCCTTTCCTTTCTCTCTCTCTTGTTTTTTTTCTTTCTTTTCTGTTCTATTTATCTAAAAGAAAATAGAAGAGGAGATTGCTATACACGTCATTGCCAACCATATAAAAGCACGAAATATATTCATTCATTTTTATTTAGTAACTCAATATTACCATTTCCAAAATATTCTCATATACATATACATATATATATATTTATCACAATGAAGAAAGAAATTGATGTTGCACTTAACCTACTTTGTTCTTATGTTCAACGATTTGGTTCAATAAAAGAAGAAAGTATCGAACAATTTCGTACACAACTTGAAAAAACTTTACTTGAACGTTACCAAGGACATTGGTATCCAGGTAAGATTCATTTAGTTTTTATTATTGTATTATGATAAAATTAAATAATTTTTTTTATTTTCTTTCTAGATAAACCTATTAAAGGACAAGCTTATCGTTCACTTGAATTCAATAAAGAAAATGATTTTTGTGATGTTATTGTTGCTCAAGTATGTCAAAATTTAGGTTTTACACCAAATTTACTTGGTATGCGACATGAATTAACGTTATGGATTGATCCATATGAAGTTTCTATAAGGTATGCATCATCATCATGACTTGACTTCCCATAATGTTAGTACAAAATGGTTCTTTCTTTCTTTCTTTCTTTCTTCTATACTCAACAAAAAATGCGTAGAATGTTAGTGCGTAATGTAATCACGAGCGATGATGTCATCAGATGTCATACACGATGATGAAAGAACAAAAACAAATAATGAGTTGTTTTTGTAATTTCTTATTTTGTTATTTCATCATAACAGATAAACAGAAAAATTTTCAAAAGAAAAAGAAAATAATCTTCTTAAATTGAATCATAATTACATAGTATTTTTTTTTTGTTTGTGTCAAGTATTTCAAAATTTAATTTATTTCTATTTTTTAATATAGATTGGGAAATCATGTATGTGCAAAAGATAATCAACAATTAATAGTTGCTCGATTTGATAAAGATGGAAATGAACTTTTTTATTATGATCTTGATACATTATTATCTCAAAGTCGTATACCTATGGTTAATAAATTACGAGCATCACCAACAAATTCCTCACCATGTGATTCCGTTAGTAATTCTGGTGCTTCAACACCACAACGTACATCATCACCATATCCAGGAACACAACCATCCATGTTTCATAATGGTCCATTATTTACACCACCAAGAGCCTTATCACCACGAGCACCAGTTTTCCAAATGTCATCAACAGCTCCGATCAATGTTCCACTAAACTCACATCCATTAGAGAGTAGTATTAATATTGATGAAGGTATATTAAATGAAGAAAATCAAAGTCAACCTGATCGTCCGGATACACCACATTCAATGCATAGTACTACATCAGACGAATCATCTGATAGTGGTTATTGTGGTTATGTTGAAAGTTATCCATGTAAGATTTAAATTTAATTTAAATAATTAAAATATTATTTTTTTGTTTTGTTTTTATAGATTATTACAAACTCAATCGTTTATATAAAGCATTAGCCTTACAAAAATATAATGAAAATGGACAATTAATACGTAAAGTTCCACATCATCGTCGTGTACCATATCCTATGCATCAACAACAACAATTTATGATTCCATCACTTTTTTCTACTTCTCCACCAACACCAACTCCAATGAATATTGATCAATTAGCTCCATTCTATGAAAATCCATCATTATATCCAATAACAACGGGTGTTGTTGGTAGTCGAAAATCTAAGTATTAAACTTATGTACTTTTGTTTGAGTAGATTAGCTGCATTTTTTTTCTCTCTCTCACACGATCAATATATTTAAACAAAGTAAATTTTTAATAAGCAATGATCGTGTTGTGCAATGTAATTTTATGTAAATGAGGAAAAAAAAATCGGCTACCAGCATTCATATTCAAATGTACAAAAAAGTTTTTCTTTTATAAATGTTATAGTTATTGAAAATATTTTTCATAAATTGTTTAGTTTGTCGTTTCGCAACCTAGAATTGTTCATTTTTATTTTCGTTTCTCTTTGTTGTTTTCGTAAACAAGAAAATATTCTTTAAAAAAATATGTACTTTTAATTTTACTGTTGTTGTATGCTATTTGACCTTCTCGACTTCAGATAAGATATGTGAGTTTGTGTATGAATGTTTATTTCTTTTTTTTTTTTCATGTCTACCTCTCTTTCTACTTCATTTTGTTTTGCTTAAACGACGGTGAATGTATCTATTTCTCTGCAGGTCAGAAAGAGTGTAAGATAACAACAACTTTGATATTATAGTCTAGTTTAAATATTCATGCACATACGTTTATTATTCGTTTATCTTTATCTGTATATATAAAAGTTTGTTTTATTCTCTGTTATTATTTTTTTTCTTTGAGATACAAAGCGTATTGAGAAAAAAAAAGTCATATGTGACATACTAAAAGTAACTTGTAAAGTGTCTATTGACCGGTAATTAGCATTTGTTGCTCCTTTTTTTTTAATAATGCGCTTGTATATTATTTATTTGAACAAAAAATAAAAATTAAGAAACTATAAAAATGAATAATATTTAAATCAAAATTTAAAAAAAAAAAACAAGTTTTCATATATGCAAACTAATGCAAATGCGTTATACGAAAACGGTAGAAAAATATAATTGTCAATATTTTTCGTATTCGTGATTTCGTATATAATAACATACTTCTTTTCGAAAAATACTATGACTAATATTAATATTTGTATTTGATTGCTAGAAGAATATATCAAAAGCAAATTACTTATTAATTCAATACTGATTCAATATTAATCTAACGTCTAGTTTATAAATATCATATTTCTAGTTTTCATTTTATTTGATACTTTAAATAAAAATTACATTTAGAATTATACTTGTTGATATTTTATTAAAAATATATAAGAAATTAATTTCATTAGCATGATGGATGAGATTTAAAAAATTCAGTGGTGTACATATAGTACAATACTTGAATAAAAAAAAGAAATGATAGTAAGTATCATTCAACATTTAAGGTGTATGTCATAAGTCGAAAAGGAAATATGTTTAAAGTTACTCAAATTCTTAGTATGTCACGTTTTATTCCAGTCATAAATGAACTGAAGAATTCATTTTTATTGTTGGTCAATGATTTGAAGTTATTTAATATTTCGATTAATATCAATAGATAGTTATTAAAATGCACGTCGAAAATGTGAGAAATTTATTTGAATATTTAAAGTTTCAATAATGACATAATGATTATAAATGTTTTTAGATTTTCTTTTGGTTTTTATTAAAAAATTCCTTGATAAACTTGTTTGGCAACATACACTGATTATGATGTAATAGCTCCTGAAATCTAATGATAGATTGTCTAAAGTATATTTCAATGGAAATCATACAGCTTTATGAAGAATAAAGCAAGTACGTCGAATTATAAGACAGAAATTGATCTTGTTTCACGATTTTCTTTTTATTAAAATAATGTACAGTTATTTCTATAAATAAATATTAACCATAAGAAAAATTTTCTTTCAGATTTTAAAATGCCAACAAAAAAAAACAAGAAGAACATTGATTAATTAAAGAATCGTTACATGTTGATGAAAACTATTGGATGCTTACTCAATTGTTTGAATATTAGATTATTTAAAATTTTTCCTATTAATCTTCGTTATTGACGTAGGTAGAAAAAAAATGACTAGTGGATTCGCGTTTATTAAGAAAATGTTTGTCGACAGATTTGTGTTTTAAAAGAGATTTGTTGTGTGTAATAAAGCATTAACTATGCTTCAAGGGCGTGACAACTTTAAATTTATGCAAATCATTATGTAATGAATGATACAAGCTACATGATACTACTGCAAGAGTCCAGATTAAATATCGATCATATATAGCTAAATTTAATTTTATTATGAAAAGTCCAGAGGATGTGTGTGAGTGAAGACAAGAGTTTCGCCTACACCCGCATCCTTATATCAATTTTATTCTTATTTTTCCATTGACATAATTGTAATCTTGCTAACGTTTTATTTTAAATGTATTTTACCATCTCATGCTATACTATTGAATGAAATTAAATTCAAACATAATATTTGCCAGAATCGGTCAATAACTGATTAATCTGGTATAGTATCCGAATTGATGAACCTATTCAGACAGTTATTCTTGTCTAGATTCGTCTGACGACTTCTTTTAGCTCTTTAAATGATTGAATTAAATGTAAAATTGTAATCTCTTTCAAATGTTGGTTATTTCAATAGGACTCATCGACTTCAAAATAGAAGTTCTTCGCCTCAAATACTTGGGTTTTTTTTTCTTGAATATATTTTCTGATAGTAATTTCTTTCTCGAAAATTCCAGAAGTGTAGACGAATATTTTGCAAAGGAAAAATGAACTCGCATCTAACCTTTCCAACTTTTGTTTTTGCTGCATTCTCAAATTGAGTTAACGCTTGCAAACGTTTAATTCATTTTGACTTGTGCTTGGAAATTCCAACGAAAAATGGGGAAGAAAATTTTTTTCTCAAACAAAAAAAAGTCAAAACATGGCAAATTCCAACATAGATAAAAATATCTCATGAAAGAACGTACTATGATTCATATATTATGAAAAAAATACAAAACTTGAGAAAAAAATTTAAATTAAATTCTATAATTTGAAATGAAAAATCTTTTATACAGATAAATTTGATTTCATATTAAAAGATAAAAAGAAATAAGATCATCTGTGAAAATTTTGTTAATTTTACCAAAACTATTATATATTTTTAATAATAAATATTATCTATCAACAAATTGAATCGATCATAGCGACATCTATCTAGTGCTAGAAATCATTCTTCTAGATAAACAATTAACCAATCGATATTTATTGAAAACAAACTCTTCTATCGAATAATATATTATCATTATTAAGATCAAAATTTTTCGAAAAAATGGATCCTACAATTGATCATATCGAACGATTACGTACAATATATAGTAAATTAAAAAAAGTTCGTTTTGGTGGTGTTGTAACAAGTCGTAAACCAAAATATGCTGAAGCAGCACTTGATTTTCAATCATTATCAAGACAATTTCGTCAAGAAAATTGTCTTGAATATGCTGGTCTTTGCTTAATACAAGCATCACGTTGTTTTTCTGAATTAAAATCTTCGACAAGTGAATTACAAATGTTACTTGAAGCAGCATCAATATTTCTTGAAATTGAATTACAATTACATGATACAAATACATTATCATATCATGAAAATTTATCATTAGCATTATCAACATATCAGTTAGCACAAAAAAATTTACGTGAACAAAATGAACGTTATTTAGGTGGTTTAATAACATTTCAAATTGGTTTACATTTAGAAATGTTAGAAAAATTTCATGAAAGTGAACGTCTTTTTTCCATGGCATTAGATTCATTTCAAGATTTATTATCAATACAAATATCTATATATCAACGTTTAATTAATATACGTATTGATAATGAAAATTATAATTTAGCATTACAAACAATAACAAATTTTATTGAACGTTTAATAAAAACATCAATAAATGATATAAGTTATCGACGTTTATTAGCATCATATGATATTTTACGTCTTTTTTTATTACTTATTTTACAACCACATCCGCAACGTCTTCGTCCAGATTATGCTAAAACTTTAGATGCATATACATGGGAATCATATGAAAAATTAAATATTCCAATGTCTTATTTAGATGAAACACTTTTTTATTTATTACAATCAATAACATTAGCTGTACAAGCTAAAGATTTAAAACATATTGAACAATTAGAATATGATTTAAATCAACAAACACAAATTAATTCAAGACATATACATTTATTTCATAAATTAAAACAAAAAATTTCAGGACATTTTATTGATACATTTAAATTTGATCAACATACATCAATATCAAATGATATAACAGATTATCGATAGAAATATATATTTTTCTTTTTTTTTTTGAAATAGTGATTTAATTATTCTTAACTTTTTTTTTGTTTGATTAAATTCTTCTTCTTAATGTTGTCTAATTTTAGATTATGAAGAAAAATTATTATTGAACAATTCCGGTGATTATTTATTTTTCTAGTATTCAGATTTGATGGCTTCATCGACAGGTATGATAATTTATATATTAATTTTCAAATTTTCTATGTTAGTTTTTTTTTTTGTCTAGTACATCAAAAATTCATCTGCCATTTTTGCTTTGATGAATTTCGCAATCGTTCTTCACTATTATCTCATTTTTCTTATTGTCATATGAATATATCAAGTAAACGAAATACTGAAACAAATAACAACTTACCACGACTTAATAAAAAAGATCATGATTTACTTCATAGTAAATTTATCTATTCATTTATAATTTATATTCTTATTTTTGTTTTTTTTTCTATTCTAGTGTTAAAATTACATCGATTTAATGATAAACTGATTTCATATAAACAAAAAGATAAAACAAATTCATTTTTACAAATGCCATTATCATGTAGATATATATCTTATTCGAAACAATCATCATTTGATGATTCAACTTGTAATACAAATAATTCTTTATTAAATAATAATAATAATCAATTTGAAGAAAAAATTTTATACAATACAATAAATACAAAATCATCATCATATTATCATACATATAAATATTCTCGACGTGAACAAAAAAATTTTTATGCAAGTGTTAAAAGAGCTCGATTAAAAAAACAATATACAATAATAAAAAAATCTCATACAAATTCATTAATATTTAATAAAGAAAATTTTTCAATAAATCTACCAACAAAAATCAATTCACGTCAACAATTAAATACAAATGCAAATAATTCATATCCATTAATATTTGATCCAAATTTTCATACATTAGTAAAATTATCAATAAATAATTTATTTCAAAATTATTTTTCTAATATAAATATTTATTTTCATTTAATAAATTCAATAGCTAGTCAAGAATTTCAAATAATTATAAATAGTAATGATAATCAACAACATATATCATATACAGCATATTCATTTATAAATATTCTTCGACAAACAATGGCAGATTATTCATTAAATTTACAAAAAAATTTTAAAAGAAATTATTTTCAAACATTTCAAAATAATGATCAACAAATTATAATACCATTTAAAATTCCACGATATGATCAAACAATATCATCATCATCTAATATTCAAATTGACAATAATGATCATCATTTGGAAACACAAATAGATAATAGTGTATCATCAATACCAATAAATAATAATAATTTTATTCAAATTGAAAATAATGAAATGAATAATTCAATCGTACATCCGGTGCAATCTGATTCAATTTTAATAGATCATCAACAATCAAGAGAGTATGTTGAGAAAAAATAAATTTAAATTTTTATTACAGGATGTTTCAAAAGTTCTTTTCTGAAAGTTTTTTCATATATCTTTACTATTTGATTTAACTTTATCAACTATGTTTCGCTTTGTATATTTGTATTACATTATACACGATGAATTTATAGTGCATTAAAACTCCTTAAAAACATACAAGTCATTTTCAAGATTTTAATTATCATGTTTCTTCTGTTTATATTACTATTATTGAAAGAAATAATGTCATCGGATAGTATATCATTTAAAGCATAGTCCTAAGCACTCGAAGCTCATATAAATATAGTTTGGTAGGAATCACTCATCGTTTACATATAAATTAATTTTCGTTGAAACCCAGAACTTATGAGATATTCTTTGTGTAAAAAGACATCATACAACAATTATTTATTAATTGCTTCCTTTTCTTGGAGATTAACAGCTGCCGTATTCAGACTAAAAATGATCTGTGTGTCACTTCACAGTTGCAATATACTCATCAAAACTTATTGTGTGATGTCTAATCTCAAGTAAACTGATTGTTGAATCATTTTTCTGATGATTCAACGATTGATCAGCAAAATAACCTTGACGCTTCTTTTTAACTAATTCTACAGAAGAGTAATTAAAAAATAATTGTTGTATAGTATTTTTCTACATATAACAAAAAGGCAAAATTTTTATATTTCAATTAGAAGTGATGGCTTTGAAGTTTCCTCGTATAATTAAAAACTCGATCTATGGACCTATCATTTAGGAAAACAATTAGTTTATAAAGTTGAATCGAATAGTAAAGATATACTAAAAAACTTTTAGAAATGGACTTTTGGGGTATCCTGTGTTTCAGTTTTTTATTGTTTCAAAATGAATTAATTTTTTAATGTTTTCTCAAGACAGAATATAACAAACTAAAATCTGAATTTTGTATACAGAGCAATGCTTTTTTTTCTAAAAGATCATCACGAGAATTGAAGTGGAACGTGAAGATTGAATAATGAGATATTCGTTAATAAGAAGAGTTTAAGAATGTTTTAAACATCATCCGAACACATTGTTAAATAACTTGAAGAATCAAAAAAATTTAGTTCTCTACATCCCTTTTCATAAGCTTTATATTTCAGAGAAAACATTCGCACATTTTACACTTCTAACAAAGTCTGAGTTCTAGAATCTAAGTTAGAATTTTTTAATGAAAACTTTGAAAGAAATAATTGTTCGACTTTCGAAAAAGTCTCTTAAAGTATTTCATCACTTTTGAGTTCATATTTTAGTCACATAGAGAAAATCTATAGACTAGAATTATTACAAATGGATTCGACTTAGAGGTGCGAGAGCACCGATATATTTTCACCATAGGAGGAAGTATTGTCAGATAACTTCAACAAAGCATTTTCAACCTGAAATTATATATATTAGTAAGTATCGTAATTCTGAGTATATCCTGCATTTTTCAGTGAAAAGAATCCATCTCTTAAAATATTCAATGCTCCAAAAATCATAATTTTCCTGACCAATTCCAAAATTTTATCAATTCGTGGACGTTGAATATTTCTACAAAAATAAGATGTCATCATTGTGACTGAAATTTTTAACCCCTGCATCATCCTCGAGAAGTTCCATGAAGTTGAATTCTTTGATGGCTATTCTAGTATAAAGATTTCACCTAAATGATCAACAAAAATGATCACAAAAGTGATGAATTACTTTGAACGTAATCCAATATATTTGAATATTTTAGTCGAACAAGTACACAATCAATTCAAACTTCTTTTATCCCGATTATTGAAGAACAAAAAACGAATAGAAGTTCAAGTCCTATTTTTTTAAAAAAACAAAAAATAGAACCAATACAAAATGATCAATCCAATTTTCCGATTGAAAGACCTCGTATTCGTATAATAAATGGATCAAATGATAATAGAAAACAATCATCTTCTGGTAAAAAAATTTACAAGTCAAATAATCAAGTTGATGAAAATTCAACGATAAAACCTATACGAATGAGTACGCGTAAGAATTCAATAAAAACTGAAATAATTACAGAAATGAATCCATCTTTTGAAACAAAACCAATTATTTTATCTTCAAATGAAATTTCAAAAGAATGGTTAACACATAACGTTTTTTATCGTTGTCATGCTTGTTCACATGAAGAATTTTTTGTTGTTTTATCACGTGAATGTATTAATTTACATGTATCGTCAAAACATGGCAATATGGAAGAAAATTTTAAACAACGTTTATCAAATTTTCTTAATAATAGAGGACGTTCATTAAAAATTTTTCAACATTATTTAAAATGGCAACA